ACAAGAAAAAGGAGGGTGTTCCTGTGGGGGGGGGGGGGGGGGAATAAATTGCAGGGAGCGATCAGGCAGACTGATGTAACCGTATTGTGTTTTATCTGGAGGATGCCACTGTTGAGTACTTCAGATAATGTGCAGGCCATCTTTGGGGAGGGGTGTCCATGCCTGACCCAACCCTGCCACCTCCTCTGCCTGCTGTCCTTGCCCACTACCAGCCTTTGGTGCTACGCAGAGCCTCCCAAGTCTCTCCCCTGCCCCTTGGGTCTGTCACAGATGACAAATAGCTTCTAACGCTTTCCTTGTGTAAACTAATGCTGCCGCTTTTCCTGGTCCCTGCCTTGCTGGATTGCCTTGCCTGTGGCGGAGCCAGTTCAGGACATGGTTACGTGGCCTGGCTGCGAGGGAGGAGGCTGTGCAAGAGTGATGCATGTGCTGCCTTCAGCTCTGGAGTGCCTGCCTGCGAGCCGGGCTCACCGCTGCTCTGGAGGCTGGTATTGCACGGGACCAACTGGCCCTGCTTTCTGCTGCCAGTGTTGCCTGGTGCTGCAGGAAATAAAGCAGCGTTGTTGCAGCCTGAGTAACTGCTCCCGAACAGCCCGGATCTGGATCAAGCATCCAGAGACAAGCAAAGTCTCTTCCTCCCTGCTTCCCTTCTGGTTGCAAGGCTGGACCCCCCGCCGTGATTGCAGCTCTTGGCTTGTTTTTGCATGTAGCAGCCAGGTTTGCAGAGAGTGGTGCTGGGGCTCTGGGGATGGAGCAGAGCAGCCTGGGCTGAGCTTTTCCTGCACAGCCAAACGTTTAGATCTGTGCCGGGGCCGCATCCTGTGGGTGCTCGCGTGACCCGTCAGGCGCCTGAGGAGCACTCTGGCAGGAAACGAGCCCGTTTGTGGTAGCGATATTTCTCTGCTGCATCCGCTCAGCCCTGGCCTGTCTCCCCATCAGTGCCTGGGGAGGACCGGGACTGCTGGGGTGGTGGTGATGCCTGGGGCATGACATCCCAGAGGAGCCTTGGTTCAGGGACTGAGTCACCAGGCTGTGTGGCAGGAGCCTGGTAGATAATTTCCCTCCCTCTGATGCTCTTTCCCGATGGGTACTCAGGGTGCTGGGTGTGGCTGAGGGGCTGGAGGAAGCAAAGGCTTTTTTTGGGAGGGGAGCAGCAGGCTGTGCAGAAGCAGCAGGAGCTCTTCAGGGCACATGTGGGAATTAAACCAGCTGACTGCTTTCCAGCGGAAGGCAGGAGGCTTGTGCCCCTGGTGAGGGCTTGTGGTGGTGCTCCTGGCTTGCAGGACCCTGCTGGGGTTTTCGCTGGAGCAAGGGCTCCGGGTTGTGCAGGTGCCTCATCCTGGGAAGCCCCTTAGTTCCACAGGCACCTCCGTGGCTGTGAAAACTTCGGGGTGGGTGGTTTCCTGTCAGAGTGGGCTGTGCTCCCACCTGATGCAGCGTAATCAATTTTTTAAAAATTCTTTTTAATAAAAAGTCTTCAATTAAAAAAAAAAAAAAAAAAAGAGAAGTTAGAAAACTTACCCGTCCCTGGCATGAGCAAGCTGTTCCCTTGCAGCAAACTGTTGTGGGTTAAAAGCGGTTGCTCTTTCCTGGCCGTCCTCTTGACAGCCCGAGTGCCAGGGCTGGGACACACTGCCAACATGTCCCTCCCTGCCCTGCTGCCTGTGGCTGTGGTGCCACGCTCGCCACCCTTAGAGAAGGGGTACGCAGATCCCTTGCCTGACGTGAAGCGGGTCACATCCAGGCTCTGCCTTGCAGGATCCCGAGCGTGTCCTGCCTGGGTGTGCCCAAAACAGGGGCACGAGCCTGCAGGAAGAGCCAGTGGGAATGTGCCATGCACCTTTGACCTTAGGACATGCCAGCCCAGCGATTGCTTGGGCGGGAGCACATTGCTGTATAAAAGCCCTTGAAGGAGACCTTGCTCCAGCAGTACGAGCTGGTGTCTCTGCACGATGGCTGACCCCAAGGAGCCTGGGAAGGGGGATGTCGAGCTGGACACCACTAATGCAGCTCCCTCCACAGGGACCATGTCCACCCGGCGCCTCCGCAGTGAGGACTACAACGACTACAGCTCCACGGACGTCACACCAGAGGGAAGCCCGCCCGGTGGCATGAACGGCTTCGCCCACCCTGAGTCCTACCAGCGCTTCGGGGAGACCAATGGGACAACGTGAGTGATGCTTCCCTCCCTCCCGGGCTGGCCCAGCACCTGGGGAGGGTGGAGGAGGTAACGGTGGCTCTCTGCTGCCTGCCGGCTTTGCTAGAGGATGGTGGAGCTGTGGTTTTATGGGGAGTCTCTCCTGGGGATGGCAAGGGCAGAGCTGTGGTCCTGCCTGTTTGGGATGCTGGCACCAAGCGAGCAGCTGCCCCAGTTGCGCTCTGCTCTCTGGTGAAGCTGGGCTCGCCAGCAGTGGGCAGCGTTTGATGCTTTTCCCAATATTCCCCTGCTCCAGCTTGGTTCTATGGGGAGCTGTGGTGAGCAAACAGCATGTCCACCTTCAGAGGATACATGGGCATGTTGCAGCCATGCCCTGGGGGCTTCCTCTTGCCTTATTCACCCAGGTGGGCAGAGGATGCTGAGGGAGACCCATCCCTTCAACTTGGAGACTTTCTTGTTGTGCAGCCCCTTGGTGCTGAGCTGCACTCCTGCTGGGTTTTGCCTTGAAGCCGGTTTTGCAAATGCCCACCCAAAATCTGTTTGTTGAGTCTTTGCTTCCTGTCCTTCCTCAGTCCCATTGGGCTGAGCTAGCTTCAGGGGACAGGATCCAGACCTCCATGTGTGTTTCCCGCAGCAGCTCAGAGCTGCTGGACCCTGAGCAGGATGAACCGAGGGCTGAGACTGTGCATGGTCTGGGTGCAGGCATCGGCTGATGGTCATCTCAGCCTCTTCTCTCCCTCAGGTGGTACCAGACCCTGATCCACCTCCTAAAGGGGAATATTGGCACGGGACTGCTGGGGCTGCCTCTGGCTGTGAAGAACGCCGGCATCCTGGTAAGGCGGCTCTCAGCCCTGCTGTGCGGGAGCTCGTGGGGCAGAGTGACCTCAGGGCGTTGGGCCGCTTGCGTGGCCAGTGTTAGGGCTTGACTCCCTGCTGAGATGCCTCTTGGTGCTTGTTGGCTTGTGAGCTTTTGCACCTGGGGCTCTGTAGTTTGCTTCATTTGCTGCTGACACTGTTCTTGCCACTCCTGCGTTGTGCTGGCTAATCTCCGTGAGTTCAGTGCGTGAGTCAGGGCTGCGGTTTCCTCTGCTGGGGTCAGGCAGGGCACTGGGTCCGTGCCCCCGCACCCAGCTGGGTGTCGCCTCCCTGGCCCCTGTGGCATCAGCCCCTTTCTCCCAAAATGCTTGGTGCTGCGCTTGGGTGGCATCTCCTTGTCCTGGTCATGGCAGGTTCAGCACAGCCTCCACCTTGGTTTGTCCCAGTCGGTCTGTGCTGAGCATGCTGTGTGCCTCCTGAGGGTCCTACGAGCACAGCACGCATGTAACGAGCCCCGTCAGTCAGCGGTTAAGGCTGGTGATGGGAGATGACGGCATGCTTCCTTCTGTGGGGTTTCACGTAGGCTGGCCCAGCCTCGCAGCTCTGGCTGTGTTGAGGTCAGTGGATGTGATGCAGCTTTGCTGCCTGAGGTCATGCTTGGAGGTCAAAAAGCAGCCTCCGGCCACTGTCACATCTCCCCCCAGCTTCTGTCCCAAAGCTCAGCTCCTCTGTGTCTCAGGCATCATGCCCGAGCAACTGCCACCTGTGAGAGAGGTGGGAGCACCTCGCTGCTCTGCTCCAGGTTTCCTTGCCCAGCAACACAGCATTCCCATTGTTCAGATTGAAAAATAAAAATAATTAAAAAAGGCAACTTCCTTTGTCCAGACTGTGACCTCTTTGTCACCTGCGTAATAGTGATGTGCAAGATAGTTTGAAAAACAATCCTGGAAGCGCTTTGCTAAACCCAAACTGCCCCAACTTGCTGCTTTTGCATCATTCCTGCCAAGCTCGTGGCTCTCTGTGGGGTTACTTGGTCCTGAGGGGCTGGTTCCTGGGAGCAGCACCCGAGCTCCCGTTCAGCCTCAAGCCGTGTTTCGGCTCATGGAGCCTGTGGGGTTTTGTCTGGAAGTAAAACCCATCGTGCAGGTCTGCCTTTGGCCATCAGAGTGCAGCCTTCCCCCTCTCTTCCCCTGCAGCTGGGTCCTCTGAGCCTGGTGGTGATGGGAGTCGTGGCTGTGCACTGCATGGGCATCCTGGTGAAATGTGCCCATCACTTCTGCTACAGGTAAGGAGCAACTCCCCTTCTTGGCACTGGTGCTCCTACGGCTCTTCCTTCTTTCACAAGAAGCCCTGTGGTTTTTCTGAAGTCTCCTTGCAGCAAGTTGCCTGTGTTGAAGCCTCAAAGTTGGGAACTGCTTCTGGGCTATTTCACAGGAACTGTTTTCCCATTAATGTCATCATTTGCTTTGGGAACCAGCAGACAGGGCTGATGTGACATTCCTTCTCTCTTTCTTCTCTGCACAGGTTCCAGAAACAGTTTGTGGACTACGGGGGTGCCGTGATGTATGGGCTGGAGTCAACTCCCAGCGCCTGGCTGCGGACACATGCTGTCTGGGGAAGGTACCTGTTCCCCTGCTCCAGGCAGAGGACTAGTCTTTAAGCCCAGCATGTGCTGCAGCTGGGACAGAAGAGCTGGCTGGTCTCTGAGCTGTGTCAGCAGATGAGCACAAGTGACATAAAATGTTATTTGGCTCACCTACCTTGAGTGCTCAGCGTCCCCCAGGGGGTAACGTTGAGGTCTTTGACCCAGTCCTGTCCCCAGCCAGATGTGGCTTATACTAAAGGAGGGGGGGAAGTAAGTCTCTGCAGCGTAACAAAGGGGTAAATAACATGTACTGCAGTGCTGGCCCATCTTGTTAGACACTGAGCATATCTAATGGCTGCTCTCAGGGATGCTACCAGCCCTGTGGATGTCACGCGGATTATTGCACATCAGGTGCTCAAACATCCACCAATTCCTGTGACCAGGGAGCCCGAGGTCTGTGAGGTTAGATGGAGATACAGTCCTCTCTCCCGATCACTGAGGAGAAGCGACCTGGGCATGCTCTGACCTGCACACCTCGAGCCCTGGGGAGAGCAGCATTGCTGCAGTGTTTGAGTGCAGCCCCAAGCAACCGAAGTGGGCTCTTATTTCTGTATGGCCTGACTAACAAATGGTCTTTTTTTTTTCTTTTCTAGGCGTGTAGTGGGACTTTTCTTGATCATCACTCAGTTGGGTTTCTGCTGTGTCTACTTTGTCTTCCTGGCTGACAATCTGAAACAGGTTAGACTTAGTCCTTCCTTTGTGAGCAAGGGGAAGGCGAGAGGGGGTGTGGAGGTGCCTGGGTTGTTCTTAGCTCCTGTGTTATGGCCCTGTTCTCCACCAAAGGTCTGGTTTCTGTAGCTGATGCTGCTCGGGAAGGTACTGCTCCTCTGTCTGGGTATTTTGGAGGATTGGTTTTCCTGTTCAAACAGGGCAGGTTTTTCTGAGAGTCCCTGTGACTTTGCTCCATGTGCAGAGGCACTGGAGCCATCCGTGTTGCCCCAGGGAAGTGGGGGCTGTTCCTAGTGAGGGAAGACAGGAGTGAGGTGACAGCAGAGGGACTGTGCCTTTGATGTCCTGCGTGCCTCAGTTAATTAGTTTATTGATACTCTCTGTTGATGGTAACGTATGGGTACCAGGACCTGCCATGAACCTCTCTTCTCCCTTTCTTGGACCTGTTTGCATTCCTGTTTCTTTCCTCATCCTGTGGCTCTGGAGCTTAATTACATCTTTAGGGAAAGAGTTTCCTTCTGCCAGGCGTCAGGAGGAAATAAACAGAAACCCTGAACGGCTTGGCTGGCTCCTGTGCTGTAAGAAACTGGGAATAACGAGTCCCTGTTCCCAGCCTCCACCAGCTCGGTGCCTCGCAGGCACCAGTCAGCATTGTTCCCCCATGTGCTCCTGCTCTGCTCTTGCAGCAGTGGTCCGGTCACTACCACCGCAGCCGTACCCTTCATCAGCTCTTCCCTGATACCCATCAGCTTCAGAGGTGGTTCCTGGGGCAGTGAGGGGGGTAGCAGAGGATGGATGGGTTCTGCCCTTGCTCCGGGAGCAGCAGCTGAGGAGATTCCCTTTGTACTGCCCTGTGGGATGGCTGGGAGGAGTAAATGGGTGAACATCGGTGCTCTGACACCAACAGCCCTGAGAGCAGGAACGAGCAGGGTGAGCATGCAGGGCTGGGCTGCTGCTGGCCCCTTGCTGCTTTTTGAAGGTGGGCTTCTTTCTGCTTGGCCCCTTGCAGCGGAGATTGAAGGCTGGCTCAAGCCGTAAGGGAAATTTGCAAAAACCTGCAAGTCCAGCCCATTTTAGGTCACAGCTGGGAAACCCCTTGGCTTTGGTTTTGGAATTTTTTGGGTGGGGAGTTTCTTGCTTGTTTCTTTTGTGGTGGGGAATAGAGTGTTAGATGGGGAGCAATGGTGCAGCTGGTACCTTGGGCTAGGTGCTGCTGTGCTGGGCAGAGGTCTGGTTTGGAAGACAGGTTTGGAGCAAACCATGGAGAGGCAGGGCGGGCCAGGGCTCAAGCAGCACTGTCCTGTGGGTGTGTGGCTCTGTGCTGCCCTCTCCCATGGAGGATGCTGATTTGCACAGAAGCTCTTTGGCCTCTCCTCTGGGGCAGGACTTGTTCTGGAGCAGGTTAAATTAGTTTGCAGGCAGCCCTTTGCTGCAGTGGCCAGATGGCACCTGGTTCCTGAACCAGCTTGGTCGTGGTTGTATTGGTGATCCATAGCATGCCCGTGCTCCTTGGGAGGGAGGGCTCAGCCACCCAGTTCCTGGGGCAGAACTGTCTCTAGAGGCGAGCACATGGCCTAGAGTGCCTTTGGAATGAAAGACCCCAAGGAAAGATGATTTTCCATGAAGAAAGCGAAGCTGGGGGCCAGCAGTAGCTTCCAGATGCCCTTGCATGGGAACAGGGCATTGGGTGACTGAAGGGGTGTGTGTTGTTGAGTGTAACATGGTGCAGCAAGAGGAAAACCATTTTTGAGGCAACAGCACTTAACGCCTCTTTCCTCTCTTCTCAACTGGCCATGTGGGCAGCGCAAACCAACCTCTGCCCTTGGTGTGCTTGGCTGCTGGGTTCATGTGCTCAGCGAGCCTGGGCTCGGGCAGGTTTTGCTCTCTCTGCTCAGATGCCGTAGCTAGTCCCACCTCTGCCCCTAGCAAGGTAACAAGGATTTGCTTTGAAACTACCTGAAAACCCATGTTGCTTTGATTTTAATCGACTAGCTGTGTTTGAAAGTGAGCTGATGGGGTAGTATTCTGACCCATCTGGGATGGGCCGCCAAGATCCATGGCTCTCAGTCCTGCGTGATGTAGTTCATCAAGCCTTCCTGTGCTTCCCCAGGTCATATCTGCAGCAAACGGGACCACCAATGACTGCAACCCGAACAGGACAGTGGCCATGACCCCCACCATGGACTCCCGGCTATACATGCTTTCCCTCCTGCCTTTCGTGGTGCTGCTCACGTTCATCCAGAATCTCAAGGTCCTGTCCATCTTCTCCATGCTGGCCAACGTGGCCATGCTTGTCAGCCTCGTCCTGATCTACCAGTACATCGTCAGGGTATGCATGTATGGCTCCCCTCTGTCATTTCTGCGATGTCTCGTGTTTTGGCAGGTGGAGGGAGCTTGACAGTGGGGTGTTTGCATGCGGTGGGGTGCTGCTCTCTCCTGTGGGCACGGCGGTTACCCTCTGCTCCGCAGAGCTTTCCCTGTGGCATGGGGCTGCGACAGGGAGCGATGGGAGCAGGCCAGGTCCTCCCTATCGTCCCCGCATCTGAACTCTGAGTGGGCTTTTTTCCAGGACATTCCTGATCCCAGTGACCTGCCTCTAGCAGCAGCCTGGAAGACCTACCCTCTGTTTTTTGGCACCGCGGTCTTTGCTTTCGAAGGCATCGGGGTGGTAAGTCTCGGCGTGTGGCAGCGGGGCTGCCTGCACAGGAGGCTCAGCCTGTGCTCGGGCTTGCCGCAGCACCTGCTCTGCGTTGCAGCTGTATTTGCAGATGAACTTCTCTGACAGTAGCTCAAGTTCTGGATGATGCTGTTAGCTTTAGCCTCCAGGCTATCTCCTGGGTCAAACCCTGTTGCTTCCATCTGAGGCTGGAGGAGCACATGCTCCAAACCTCAGGAGGTTGATTGCTCCTTTGAAGGTGGCTGTATCTGGCAGTAGACTGGGCTCTGCTGGGAATCGCGCTGGCAGCTGCCTTTGGCTCCGCTGGTTGACCAGCGGACGAGGAATCATCCGGAGTCTTGTTACCTGGCTGGATCCTGAAGCTGCCTAAGTGGGAGGCCAAAAAGCATGGCACAAAAAAAATGTGATCCATTCCTTCCCACCCTGCTGTGGAGGCACTGAGATCTCCCTTCGGCAGCCGCGTGGCCCCAGTCTGCTGTGGGGCTGGATTTGCATGTGGCTCTTGTACAAGATGCTGTAAATAGACCGGCTGTGTCTGTGAAAGAAGCTGGGTGGGTGGGTGGAGAGCTTAATGGCTCCATAAGATGTTGTGGGTTGTTTCCAGGAGCTCCCTTCAAAGGAGGAAAAAATGTTTTCATCTCTTAATATAAGCTGGCTGTGTAAACAAAGGGCTGGAGAGGGCCAAATCCATTACAGGAGGGGTGTTTACTGAATGCTGTGCCCAGGGCAGAGGGCTCTTGCTGGCAGTGAGGCACAAATAGTCTCTTCCTCACATGACTTGGAGGTGGAGTAGCAAATAAAAGCTTTTCTGGCCCTGCCTCCTCACCAGCTCTGCCACTGTGTCTCTTCTTGAAATCCCCACCATCCAAGGACTGCTATAAAAATGTTTGCTGAAGTCCTGTATTTGAAAACAAGCGTTAGTAGTATAGAAGTGAGGGACTTGCCACTGTCCTTCCTTTTTTTTATTGTCCTGCCTGGTTGAAATCTATCAGGACAAACTTGATAGGAGAGGAGAAAGCGTCTTGGTCTTTCCGGGGTCTGCTGGGGAAAGTAAGACAACGTAACACGATGGGCCTGTCCCAGTGGGCATGGCTGCGCTGTTTTGGGGCGCAGAGTATAATGCAACCAAGGTATGGGGCGGATGGCATCGCCCCAAGATGCCAGGCACCAATGGGCACGGCTCCTGCCAAGGGGAGGGAGCAGATCCCTTCATTAAGACAAGGGCATGAGTGACCCTGCTGGAGACTTGCCATGCCAAGCATGAAGGTCTCAAATGGGAGCACAGAAATTGGATTTCCAGTACAGAGGCTTTTTCAGCTGGGTTCTCCAGGCTCCACATGTGACCATCCTCTCCCCTGGCATGGGGGGCTGTGCTTGGCTATGGGCTGCCCCTCCTGCTTTCCAGGGCTGAGGGGTGTAGAGGAATGGGGGCAACCCGCTGCTCAGTCGTCATCATCCTCCTCCTCCTCCTCCTCCTCTCCCAGGTGCTGCCTCTGGAAAACAAGATGAAGAACCCCCGGCAGTTCCCAGTCATCCTGTACGTGGGAATGACTATTGTCACCATCTTATACATCAGCCTGAGCGTCCTGGGGTACCTGCGCTTCAGGGCAGACATTCAGGCCAGCATAACGCTCAACCTGCCCAACTGCTGGTGAGTCCCCGGAGGGAGTGGAGGGGCTGGGGGGTGAGGAAGGAGGGTCCCGGCCAGGGAGGTGGGAGAGGGGGCAGCAGGGGACGTTGTTCCTTAGGAGAACTAATCTGGGTGAGCTTGGGGAAGGATCAACTGTGCCATAGTCAAACCATCCAAAGGAGCTTGATGAGGATTGTCTGATGTATGGGGTGGAGAGAGGCTTGTTGCTGCGGTGTCTGAGCTTGATCTTGGCTCTATGGCTCAGGCTGCTTCCTCGGGGTCCCTGGTGGTCTCTGCCTGGGTAGGTGTGGCTCCTGCCTTTTTCTTGGAGCCTTGTGGTGTCTTTTTGGGTGCTAAGCAGCGCTCTGGCTGGCAGATGTTGAACACAGTCCCTGTGCAGCTGTATCAGAAGGTTGTTGAACCGCTTCTCTTCCCCAAATGAAGCACATGGAAAATTAACCCAAAGCTGGGAGCTCCCAGAGTGGGTGAGATCTGATGTTTGCACCCGTGGGCTGCGTTCCTTGTTTGCAGTCCTGGAGCTCAAACTCCCACTCCTGGGCTCTGCGTTGTGCCTGGATGCAGCTTGTCTTGAGCCAACGCTTTGCCTGCGAGCGCTGGTGCCGTGAGGATACCCCTTCCTTCCCATGGGGGGTGAGCTCTGCAGCTCCCCAAACCTGTCTGTCTTCCTCTGGGATCTGGCGAGGTCTCTTGAGATGCTCCAGTTGCTGGCTGGAGCCCTGCGGAAATACACGTGGCCTGACCCTGTACCTGCGTACTGGGAGGGGTTATTTCTCCTCTTGCTGGGGCTGGTAGCTGTTGCAGCAGCTGGCCAGGCTGCCTGCTGGTCTGTCCCTGGGCACGAGTGGTTGCTCAGTGTCACAGCTCCATATTCATCGCAGAGGAGAAATATAAACAGTTTCTCTTGCCTTTGGGACAAGAAGAGTGGAGCGTTAAGTTATCAAGAACAAATGCCTTTTCCAGCTTGCTCTGCTTGGGATTATTTGAGAAAGTCCTGAAAAAACCCATCTCTGTTGCTTCTTATGACAGGCTGCTTTGGGGTGTCTATGTGGCAGGACATGGTGCTGACAGGTGAGGAGGAGCTGGAGAGAAGCTCTTCTGTATGCACTGCAGAGGTACCACTTGCACAGCAGCACCTCCTGTGTCTTGGTGTGGAGCTGGGGCTGAGGGTTGGCTTTGATGCCACGAGGCTTCTTGGAAAGCCGTCCTGCGGCAACACAGTTTCTCCGGGTTTGCTTAGGAGCACTCTGAAGTTCAAGAGCTTCTCTTTGAGGTCTCTGCTGGCTTGAAATCCTGCAAGACACCAGAGTGAGATTTGGAGCTGGGGGTGCCTGTCCCCCTCCCCAGCCCATCCTCTCTGCTGTTAGCAGCTGCCCAACACTGGGCAGCAAGTCTTGGTGCCTCTTCCCCACTGTTGAAGTGGATTTGGGCAGAAATCAAATCTTGAGTCACTGGTGGGCTTGTGCATGCTGACCTTGTAAAGTTGCACAGCTGGGGCTCTGGAGAAAGCAAAGATTTAAAAAAAAATAGAGCCTGTTTTTGCTTTAGTTATTGCTATGTGGGTTTCTTTCAGTTTGAGTGCATGGACTTTCATTCATGCTGGATCTGTGTAGTGACTGAACTGCTGGATGTTGGTGTGGCAGAAGGTCCTGCTCCTGCCAAGAGCCCTGCCTTGTCCCCTGCAGAGGCTGGGAGCTCTGCCAGGTCCCTGCTCTCAGCGAGGAGGGATGGGACTGGTGCAAAAACTGCCTGTGTTGCAGGGAGATCTGAATCCCACCGTGCCAGGCACAGTAGGCATGAATCCCATCTGCTCAGCAAGTTAAAGGGAGGTGTGGAGGGGTTGAAATGCTGCTGCTTCTCCTGAAGGTGGAAAGCAGGTCAGATCCAGGTCTTGGGCTCTGCAGGGCACCAAGTCACATCACAGCCTGCAACGACGTCTGCTGACCTGTAACGTGGCCAAGGGGCTTCTGCAGGAAATCTCAGCTTTGTTTGCTCTAAAGGATGATGCTCCCTTAGAAGAGGGTAATGGGATTTCTGTGACTTGCTAGGCTACAGAAAGATCCTATTTCAAATGCATGTTTCTAGGAGCATCCACGCTTTCTGTCAAAAGTACTTTTCTGAAAAAAACTGTAGGGTTTTTCAGGTAGTGAGAAGAGAATAGGCCTTTGGAAGCAGCACGTGGGGAAGCCTGGACACGTGGCAGGGCTCCTGCGGGCTGCCTGCAGGGAAGGCGTGCTGTGGTCCTTGTGACTCAGCAAGCAAAACACTTGGGTGTTTGTGCATGTTGCTTCCTGGCAGAACATTCAATGGAGGCTGTAAATATTGGACTTGGAAATGGGTTATCTAAAGTAAGGGCTGGGATACTTGGGCTAAGGCCTTGACCACTGTATTCCCATGCAGTAAACTGTAGGTGATGGGTGAAGACTTGCTCTCGAAATGAGTGTTTTGCACATCCTGCTTTGCCTGTGGGTTTTCTCCCCAGCAGTAAAAGGTGTTGGGCTGCAGAAGCTGGTTATAATGGCTGTGGGTGAGAAGTCATGGGTTTGCCTGCAGCGTGGGAGACAAGGTGAGCGTTGTGGCAGAGATGCTGCATTCTTCCTTGGCTGTAGCCATTGCCCGGAGGTCTCTAGAACAGATTCAATGAACGTGTTGGGAATTGTTGAGTTACAGGATGACTAAGGACTTTTCCAGCCTCATTTCTCTATAACCGCAGCTTCCTCAAATGAGGAGTGTGTCGGTTCCCAGTGCCCAGGTCTAACCACGGCCTCCGAAATACCGCACTGTTATGCAGAAATCCCTCCTCGCATCTTCGGAAGGGTTGCTTCACCCCACCATCTGAAGAGTGAAGAAATGCTGTAGTGAGGGGGAAGATGTTTGGTTGCGTATGGCCAGTTGGAGGTAGGTAATGACAGAGCTTACGGTCAAAGGAGGATATGCCATTTTTTGCAGCTTATTGGGATGGCCTGGTGTGGCGTTCTGGGTTAAGCAGGCGATTGCTGTGGTTGGCAGAGCAGTGCCTCTTCAGGGCCTTGTGTGGACCTGTGTTTTCTGTGGGTCCAGGCTAGTGCTTGAGCTTTTCCTCTTCTTGATATTTAAAATGCCCTTTGAGCTTGTTGTCCTGGTTCCTGACCTGTACAGCATTGGTACCCAACCTTATTCTGTACCTTTTTTAATAATACCTCTTAATCGTGGATTGCCCTGGAGCACTTTATGGCTTTACAGCATCACTTAACTGAAAATACAATGATAAGATATGCAGGCCATGGGGTAGGTGGCTCAAGGCTACTGTGCACTCAAGTCATGTGTGGCTGAGTGGGCGCACTCTGGACTCTGTGATAGCTTTGTCCTTAGTTTGTCCATGGAATCACAAGATAATTTAGGTTGGAGAGGGCATTGTGAGATCACCCGGTCCACTCACATGCTCAAAGCAGGGCCAGCTTAAAGTTTGAGTATCAATAAGGAGGAAGGTTGCCCACCTCTCCAGACCCTTGTTCTGGTGCTCGACTACCCTTTGGGATGCAACTCTGTCCCATTGCCCCTGGTTCTTCTGCTGTGCAACTCCGAGAAGAGCCTGTCTCTGTCTTCTCCATGCCCTCCTATTTGGTGGCTGGACAGTAATAACATTCCCCTTAACCTTCTCTTCATGCTGAATGAGCCTAGGTCTCGCAGCCTCTCCTTGTATGTCATGTGCTTGAGCCCCAACTATCTTAGTAGCCTCCACTCAACTTGCTCTGGTAGGTCAATGTGTGTCCTGTCCTGGGAGTCTCAAGACTGGACACAGCATTCAAGATGCAGCTTCACAAGCCCCAAACGAGAGTAATCCCTACCCTTAACCTGCTGGCTATGCTTTTGCTAACACAGCCAGGTATGGGATTGACCTTAATCACTGCAAGGTCCTGCTGCTGGCTTATGTTCAGTTTGCTGCCCACCAAGACTTCCAGGTCCTGTTCTCCAGGCCAGATGGGAAGCCGGGCCCCAGCCCTTCCCATGTGTGGGATTTTGTGTTTGCATTTGAACTTTGCCTGTGCCGCCATGTTGTTTAGGTTCTGCTCCAAGGTGTGTCAGCCATTCCCTCCAAATTGGTCTTGTTGGGAGCTTGCTGAGAGCGTGCTCTGTGTCACCGAGAGCTCATCCAGGTCACCAGTGAGGATATTTCCATGACTGCCCCTTGGCAAATCCCTGCTGGCTGTTCATCCTGTCCAATATGTGCCTGGAAATGGATGCCAGGAGGACTTAGCCCATACTTTTCTGGGGATCGAGGTGAGGCTGTTTAGCCTGTAGCTTCCCTCATCCTTCTTGAAAGTGGATATGTTCTTCCCAGGCAGCGGGACTTCTCCCTGATCACCCTGCTCTTTTAAAGATGATAAAAGTGGCTTCAGGCTGATGTTGGCCACAACCTCGAATACATCTGATCTGGTCCCATGGACTTGCATAACATCCTATTCACTTAGGTGATCCCTAACTCTATCCCCCATGATTGTGGGAAATGTTTGACTCCACCAAACTCTGCCACTAGTGTTCAAAGTTGTTTTGCATGTGAATACTTGGACTTCTCTGGTTTGAGACTGTTGTTGTAGCAGCTGGATGCTGAGAGCCAGCATACAGAGGGGCGCTGGCTTGGACCCAAAGAAGGTAAAGGCGTGTAAGAAGGCAGGAGGAGCCAGATACCTTCCTCAGCTTGGATCCACTTCATATTTACCCAAGTGGTATGGCCAGGACCCGTGTTTCCTGCTTGGTCAGCATGTCTTGAGTTGGGGAACGGGTAGGACCATATGTGATGTGACTAGATATTGCTCCTCTTTCGGAGAGGCTTTTTCTGCTGCTGGGGAGCTGAGGGCAGAGATGGTGCTGGGATGTGGCTTTTGACAGGCGCTCTCCTGCAGCCACACTTGCCTCCCGCTGCATTGCTGTAGGATTTAGGATGTAGTCAGATCTGACTCGGGGTAAGCCTAAGGTGCTGTTTGCAGCCTGTCTGCACTCTGCCTTCCTTTTGCTCAGCCCAAACTGCTCTTTTAACTGTCTTCCCCCCGAACATGTATTATGCAGCATTCCAAAAATAGCTACTCTTTTTTGTTTTATGGAGGAGGCTGAGTTGCAGGTGGCGATGGTGACGTTTGCATCACATTTGCTTTGTAAGCCCAGACTTATCCCAGCGGTGCTGTCCTCTTCCCCCTCCTCAGAAGCCAAGCAGTAATTGCAATCTGTGAAATATTCATGGCTGCAGCTGATAAGCCTATTTTAAGATATTCTTTATCTCCTGTTTCAAGATGGAGAATAAAATCCAGCTGGTTACAAGTAGGAGAAAAGGAGGTTTTTTTCATGCTTCAGCTCAGAAATTTTGTTAGTGAAGGTCAAGGTGAGGAACCTCTGGGGATGGGTGATGGATGCAACTTCATTTTGGGTCACTGGTCAAAAGTCAGGATTGCAGGCTCTTGGCAGTACCAGTGCTAGTGGGTATTTGGGTGTTGTCTGTGGGGGACAGTCATGAAGAAGGCTGTCCTGTGTCATTGCAGACCTTGCAGAGTCCAGCCTGGTCAAGCGGAGAGGGTGGTACGGAGCCTACATATTTCTTGGTTTTGGTTTTTTTTGGGGTGTGTGGTTTTTTTGTTTTGTTTTGTTTTTTTCAAATAGCTCTCAATATCTGTGCCTGTGAGTTTTCCCAAGGGGAAGCAGCACTTGAGAGGCTGCTGGCCCAACTCCTGGCCCGACGATTCCTTACACAAAGCCAGGACTAAAGCCTCTGATTAGGTGTGGGGGCATGCGTTGCTGTGGTTTGGAGGTTGTGCTGTCTCCTTGCTGTCTCTTGCCCAAGAAAGGTCTCTGTGGATTAAATGCATCACCCCTAATTTTCCAGGAGAGCATTCAGGAGGGCAGACCATTGGCACACAAAAGTCCTTCTTGGCAGAGTGTTCCCCTTCTACTTTCTGCCACTGATGCCGCGGGGGCTGGAGCAAGAGCATGTCTCACCGGGTCTCCTCCTTCTTGTTTGCAGGCTGTACCAAGCCGTCAAGCTGCTCTTCTCCTTCGGGATTTTCTTCACGTACGCCGTGCAGTTCTACGTGCCTGCTGAGATCATCATCCCTCCCCTCGTCGCCCGGGTGTCGGAGCGCTGGGGCTGGCTGGTCAACCTGCTCCTCAGGGTGGCCCTGGTCAGCGTGACCTGTGAGTAGAAAGCGGCTTGTCTGAGTTCTCCTGTGAGGATGTGGCACCTCCTTCCCGCTGTGGGCTGGTGGTGCTGAGAGCCTTTGCCCCTTGCCCTGCTGCCCCTCGCCTTGCTGCTAAAGTCTTCACAGCAGGGAGTCTCCTGGCCCTTGCTAATGCAAGCCAGAGGGCCAAAGTGGCCTCCGAGGAGCAGCAGCAGTGGTCCTCTGCCCCCTCCATATGGGACTGGTCTTTTCAGTTGAGGAATAGTAAACTTCCCACATCATTTTGAGGTGGCAGATCCCCGTGGAGCCTCGGGCCTTTTGGGGGCCATCGGGTCCCATCAAGCTTTGTCTGAAACGCTCCCAGCACCTGGTCTGGTGCCAGGGCAGCCCAGACTGGAGGCTGTTTTCTGTAGGTAGTGTGCGGCCAGGCTCCTCGTGACGAGGGCACGGTTGCAAAAGGGTCACTGACCATGAGGGAGTGGGTGTCCTCATACACACACGTTCATTGCAGTGTGTAGCACAGCAGAAGACAACTGACAATGGTACGTGACCCATAACCAAAGCCCCAGCGTGCCTGTGGCAGTCTGCTGGGCTGTGGAGCGTGTGCCACAGGGCAGGTCTGGCTGGATCAGCCTCAAATGGTCCCTTTCCCTTGATGGTGTTTAGTGCCTGAAGTGAGGCTCTGGTGGAGCAGGCTGCTGGGGTCAAGCCTGGGGGAACTTTGAGAAAGATGTGGAGCAAATCAGGTGCAGGAGTATCTGATTTTGGTTGGCTTTGATTCCTGAAGGCTAAATCCTTGCTGTTATCAGCACAGCTGAGACGCTTGACTGAGCTCCCAGGCATCATCTGCTGAAAAAGAGCTTTTCTCCATGGCTTGATGCTGCTGATGCATCAGAGTTGAGCGTCGGGGACCTGGCCCCACATCCTACCTGGCTTTGGTTTGGGTTTGAGAGGAGTGTGGTGCTAACTCAAGGGTGGTGGAGCTGGCTGAGAGCAGGGTGCTGCTGGCTTCTGGGCTCTTGCTAATGATGGGCCAGAAGCGCTTCATTAACAGAGGTGGACAAAGCCTCATCTCCTCTGTGCTGAGTTCCTGAAGCACATTCTGCCTCGATGCCTGCAGCTGGAGGGATGGTGCAGGGATGAAATCCTGCTGTGCTGGACCATGTGCTCTGGCCACCCTGGTGCTGTGGTTGGGCTCAGAGCCTGCCTGTGGGATGGGAGCCTCTCCCGGAGGGTGTTGGGGTGTGCCTGTCCAGGGAAGCAAAGGCTTGGAGTGATGGGATGGCTTTAGGCAGCGGCAGTGGCTGTACCCTCCCATTTGGGGGTAGGGAGGCAGCAGAGGTGTTGGTGGAAGGATGCTGGTTCCTTTGTACCTCCTCCCCTTACCCTTCCATGTAAGAGATCACTGTGGCTGTTGGCGAGGATAAAAGTAATTAGGGGAGTTGCATGAATATTCATCGGATGATTGCGTGGCTGCAGAACAAGCCCGCATCATGACTTTGGCTTCCAAAGAGAGGATGCAATTTGGTGTATGGGTGTCTTTTAAGCTTAGACTTCAAAACCAGCACACTTAAAAACCCTTTGAATTAATACCTGCAGAAAGCACGACCGTTGCCCCTGGAGGCTGAGGACTGCAGCTGGTGCTTCAGTTCTGCTTGGTTTAGAGGGGAGTTAATAATTTTGTTTACTTTGAGTCCAAAGAGCAGTGTGGAGTGGGCTGAGGGTGCTGTTGGCGCTCGGCTTTCACCACAGGCTGCCGGAGCGGGGATGCTGCTTGCAGCAGAGACCTGGCAGAGCGCACCTTTGGCTCTGTGCAGGGCTGAGCACTGGCATAAACTTCCTCCAGGTCAGCTCAGCAGGGACCTTTGCTGTTGTTCCCCATGGTGGAGGGATGGTTCGTCTCTAGGCTTATCCAGATGACTACAGGGCTGGAGTGGTGGCAATGTGCAGGAGCATCTCCTGTTTGTGTCTTTGCCTGCTGTCAGTCTCCCAAGCCTTCCATCTCCTGCAGTGCCGTGGGTGATCTTTGGCTCAGGGATGCTCCAACAGCCTCTCTTGCTTGTGGCCGATTGCCAGGGAGTGAACAAATCCCTCCAGTAAGGAGCCCTGAGACATCCCTTCTCCACCGAGGCTGTAGCTGCCACGATTCTAGGTGTCTCTTATTTCTAAGCAGAGCTTTCAAGGCAATAAACCAATTTATTTCTCTTGGTCACTTATTAAGTGCTGAAGTCTGCTTTGCTTGCCAGAGGGTGCTCTTCTGTTGTGCAAAGCTCTGGTTGCCTTTTCCTCAGGCTTTGTTTGACCAAAAAGGAGCAGCGATGCTCTTGAGTGCCATGGTTGCTGTGGATGGGGACCTTGCTTGGTGCGTGAGCGTGCAGAGGGGCACCGCTCCGGGTTGCAAAATGGGACCTTGATAATCCTTTATTTTAGATCTGCTCCCCAAATGCTAACACTGTGCTGCTCTGAGAGGAGCCTGGAGGCGGTGGTGGCTGTGGGCTTGTTGGAAGGAGAAAGCACCATCCCTCTGTCCTCCCCTGGCCCCGAGCAGGAGGAGGGGGAGCAGGAATATGCCAGAGTTTGCACCGCTAAGCGTGAGCTGTCAGAAGTCTCCCAGGGGGATTTTCCTTGGCTGTAGTTTTTACCTAACAAATGTTCTCCCCCGGGCTGTGCCATAGGTGCTCGGCTGCTGGAGCAGCTCTAAACACATGCAAACCACACGAATTTATTCAGGGTGGGGGGAGGTGGCTTTTTCCTCCTGTCTCCTGCTTTTTATGGGGTTTCTGAGGCTTTACAGCTCCCCAGGTGTGGGGAGCAGGAATGCTGGCTCTCACAAGGGGCTGGGGATGCCGGCAGCAGCTCTTCTTGCCACCGGCATCTGTTTGCCGGGGCACCCATCCTGCTCAGCCCTGGAGCTTGCTGTGGTGGTGCCCAGGGCAACAAAAAGGGTTTGGTCCACATGCTGCTTTGTTAACTCAATGCAACGGCTTAATTGCTTGTTGGAGAGGAGTCGCTGGAAAAATATGCAGCCATGTCTTCAAAGCTCTTGTGTCAGGGAAAAGGGCAGAGGTTTGATTCAAGCTGATGGCATCCCTGCAGTGGGTTTTTGCTTGTTTTGATTCGGGGGAGGAGGGTCTCTGCTGTCTGGGAGCTGGCAGCGCTAACATCGTGTTCCGCTCCTTTTCCAGGCGTGCTGGCCATCCTCATCCCACGCCTGGACATCGTCATCTCACTGGTGGGCTCCGTCAGCAGCAGCGCTCTGGCTCTCATCTTCCCTCCGCTGCTGGAGATCGCCACCTACTATGCAGAAGGCATGCACCCCCTCGTCATCGCCAAGGACATCGCCATCAGCCTCTTCGGCTTTGTGGGCTTCGTGGTGGGGACGTACGAGGCGCTAGTGGAGCTGGCAGCGCCCGCTGCCGCCGTTGTGAACAGCACCAGTACCGTGGTGCAGTAACGGTCCCTCTGCCCTGCCGGCCCCTCCGGATGCCGTGCTGGGGGTGCACGGGAACCGGGCGCTGCTGGTCTCCTGGGAACGGTCTCCCCTCTCGGGAAACGCGGTGGGTTTGGTCTGTGAGAGGACGGGGCTGCCCACCATCGCGGCTGCCCGTCTGCGGCAGGGTCCCGTGCTGGGCTCCGGCTGGGAAGGTGGGATCTGGGCTGGGGCAGTGCCTTCCCTGGGGGCTTTTTGGGCAGGTGATACAGCAAAACAGCCCCCTCGGTACCTGTGTAAATAGTCACTTTGAGAGGTGAGGAATCCTGTGGATGTAGATTTTTATTTTATTTTATTTTATTTTTTTTAAATCCCAACCTTTCTGTATTTCCCCTGTCCCTTCAGTCAGGACGGGGAACAGGGACTGCTCTTTTTTGTGCCAGTTGTTTGTTTTTTTTGTTTTTTTGTTTGTTTTTTTTCCCCTCAGCACTTTATTTTTACAGCAACAGAAAAACCTCAGCTCAGGTTGGAGAGCATGGAGCTGCCTCCTCACCCCAGCCTTGTGGGGAGAGCGGGCAGAGCCCAAGGTGTGGAGCACCCTGGGGCCCCCCAGCTTTCCCACAGTGGGATCCCCAGATGTGGGCATTGGGTCCTGCTGTGCTCCAGCTCTGTTTCCAGCTGCCTCGGGGGCTGAGCAGTGCCTGGAGCTGGGCACTGGGCACAGCACCTCCCTGGCCTGGGAGGATTTGCTGATCCCTGGCCCATGCTTTCAGTAGTGACACTTCTTTTTCCCCATCTAGCACACATACCTAACGTGTCGCTTTCAGAAGCGTTAGAGAACTGAGGTGTGCACAGAGCCAAATGGTCTCTGCCCTAACAAGGGTCCGATCCGGTTGCCTTTGGCTGGCAGCCCTCTCCCTGTTTGGGATGCGGTGTCCCTGGGGGTCACCACATGCTGCCCGCACGCCGCAAAAATACATCACCTTGTTTACAGTGCCCGAGCTGGCCCCGGCACGCTCTGGCTGCATCTGCAGGCCAATACTGAATGTCAAATCACGTACAAAAACCCCATAATGGTTGGTTTTTTTTTTTTTTCCCCCTTTCTTTCCTGGTCCCGCTCCCTCTGCATCCTCTGCCTCCACCCCAGCTCCTGTCCCCAGGTAGGATGCAGCTCTCTGGCACTTCTCCCTGTGCTCCTGTTGCTTCTTGGGTTGTGGCTGGTGCATGCCTGGGAGGGACTGTCCCCACTACGCTGCTGCTTTCCTTCTTCTCGGTGAGCCCAGCTTCTTCCCTAAAGAGTTTCCTTGCCTTTCTGCCGGATTTTTTTTTTTTTTTTTTTTTTTTTTTCCCCTTAAAACAAGAGAGCAAATACACCCTCCATGGGATATCTTTTCCTAGTGGTGCAAAAAGCTTTTGGCTGATCCATTCCTCCACAACCCCGTGTCTGGGCCAAACTCCTCCCTGCTAATGCAGCATCTCCCAAATGCCGGCAGCGCAGTGGCTTCCTTTGGAGAGCCTTTATCCCCGCATCCCATACAGCCGTGTTTCCCTGGGTGTGAACAAAGGCTGCTGGCTGTGGTGGGAGAGGAGTGCAAATATAGCACTGGTGGGCTGCATTCCCATCTTTGATGGAGGGTGAGTGAGGCTTGGGGTTATTTTTGGTGTTTGACCTGCTTCTGGGAGGAGAAGGCTGTGCAGAGTGGTGTCCCTGCAGCCTGCCTCCTCGATATGTGGTGTTTCAGTGTGTTGCACTGTGTCCCCTTTCCTAGCTCTGCTTTGAGTGCCCCGTGCTGGTATGTGGACCCACAGCCAGGTGCAGGGTAGGTCTGTGCCACGTCGCTGCTTCTTTCCAGTCCCTCACCTGCTCGCTGTGTCTCTTGGTGCTCACCTCATCTCCTCCAAATCTGTGCTGTGAAGGTTTCGGCATGCTTTGGCATCACTTGGTCATGAGCAGAGCAAAGCTTTAAGTCAAATCCTCCATCTGGAGGACACCATGGGGATAGAGAGCAAACACCCAGGTCTGGCAGGGGGAGGGGGCTCTACGGCATGCCGCGAATGGGAAAAGTGCAATATTCACATCCATCGCTCTGTACCGACCCTGACGTGGCCCTTGGGGCTTGGGTTTGAGTGCAGAAATGTCACCCTTGGCAGAGGAGAGCATGCTGTGAGGAGCAGGGGACGTCTGATGCTTGCCCTCAGCTCTGTCAGTACCCTGTGAGAAGGCTGGCTGTGTTTTGGGGGACAGCTGTGTGCCAGGGCATATCCCCAGTCTGGCACTGGGTGTCAGTGGGTTTGCTGACAGGGCTCCTAACATCCAAACGCATTTTGCAGTCAGCGGTGAAGACCTCATTTCCAAGGAGACTGGGATATCACAGAAGCATTAAATGTTTTTTGCAGTTCTTCACCTTTATCAGGGTGAGCTGGGGATGTTCAGAGATGGGGCCAGACGTGCCGGTGGGGCACGCGGCGTGAGGGGCTCTGCCGAGCCGGGATGACCTGACACAGGACCTGATGGACATGAAAACTTGACACTTGTGTATCATAGGCTGCTCTAACCAAGGAAATTGTCTGTGTAAATATAGGAATGGTTAATGTTCATGTCTTGTGCCTATGGATATTATCAGCATACAGCGTGTGTAGCTGCCCAGTGGAAGAGCTGGTGCTGCATCCGAATCATGTATCTTACTTTAATCAATAAATATGATCTATTTTTTATGTGAAAAGGCTCTGGGATGCAAGATGGGGATTTCTTTTCCATGAGGCTGGTGTAAAACTACCTGGCAGGGCCTGGGCTGGGTCTGGAGCAGGTCTGGGTGTCTCCAAGGGGGGACTCCACTGTGCCAGGCTGGATGGGGCAGTGGTGTGGCATTAATGCCAGTGGACATGCTACAACTTTTGGGACTCATCACTTTTTTTTTTTCTTTTTTTCCTTTTTGCAAATACCTCTCAAGTACAAGGGCTTGGGGAAGAGGGGGGCATCCATGGGAGAGCAGGAGACCTGGAGCCCAGCAGGCAGCTGGGGTCAGACCCTGTGTTTTTCCCACCCCTGCAGCAGCATACAAGACTTTTCTGCTGAGGATTTCAAATAAAAGCGTTTCACTTTTGCTGCTCTGAAAATTATAATTTTTCTTCTGAATGCATTTGTGCAAGTAGGTTGTGGGCAGAGCCTTTATGGGCTTGGCTCTTCTCTCTGCCCCACCAAAGCTGTGCCTTGGCTTCTTGGCTGTGTCCTGGGACCCAGCAGCCTGGTTTATGCCGAAAACGGGGCTGCAGCTGGAAAAAGAGCCTGGCATGTGCCGATGGCCACAGTGTGGTGGATGCTGAGCTGCTGCTGATCTGCCCAAGAGATCAAAGGAGGAAAAGCCAGCCCATGCTCAGAGATGGCTGGGTGCCATGCCAGCGTGGCTGCAGCTCTGCTTATCCTTACACTGCTGAATAATTCATGCCATAGCGGTGTGTCAGCAGCAGGGCTGTTTGGGTAATCAGTGCTAAAAAAAGTTAATCTCTTGAAGCCGTGGCAGAAAAGTCTCCTTAAAGTATGTGGACTGATGGGGAGTGTGGTTGCTGGAGGGGGATCTGAGGCCACCTGAACCCCAGGGTGGGAGGAATGGCTGAGCACAGGCAGCTCCTGGTGGTCGGGGTATTTTTGCCTGTGGAGAGTCACCATGGCTGGATGCACGACCATCCTTTCCTTCCAAGGGTTGAACACTGCAGGGCTGCACCCCTTCTATGAAATGACTTTACTGAGGCTGCCCTGTCTCAGGTGTCACTTAGCAAAGCATCATCTCTGTTGCCCTTGCCCTCCCCTGTGCTGTGGCTGCCAGCCAAGGAGACCCTAGGGAGTTAAAAGTCTAAAGGAAAATATCATCACTGTTATTTGCACTGCTTCTGATGCTGGGAAGAATAATTTGGGTTTGCTTTATGGCAAAAAGCGATGCATTTTGCTGAGAAACTGTGGCAATCTTGGAGCAAGGGTGGGAAGCCAGCAGGGTGGCAGCCTGGCCACCCCTCGGAAACCTGCCCAGACCTGGAGCCAGCAGCACTGGTGGGTCCTCACTGCGATACCACTTGTGCCAGGGCTCATGCCATCCCGCTCTGCTGAATGCGCCAGAGAGCTAAGGCACAAACTGGGATTTATGAGCAGAAAACAGGGGCAGAGCAGGCGAACCTCATCCTTCCCTTTGGCCATAAGAAAATGCTGCTCCTCCAGCAAGCCCAGGGATGGCAACCTACTCTTCACAATGTCCCATCAACATGCAGGGGGATGAGCCTTCTCTGGGGACATATCTGCATTTAGAGTTTTATTAAAAATAGCCACAGGGAACTGCAAAGTTCACAAACCCATCCCGGCAGAGGAAAGCCGAGCTGGGGACCTGCATAATTGCAGCCAAGTGGTGCCTCCCTTGGCTTTAATTTGGGATTAACCCCAGCTGTGGTGGGAGGTCTGGTTGTGCCAGGTGATGCTTGTCCTGGTGCCGGCAGTTCAGGCAGGAGGGATGCTATCCTTCTCTTCCCTTCTCAGCCTCTCTGCATGATGAGCCCCCCTCCAGCCAGCAGGTAGGGTGCTGTGGTATCCCGGGGGTGTTTTGGGGAGCCGGGTGAGTCCCTGGTTTGGGACGTGGAGCTGTTGGCAGGATTTGCAGCCCGAGGTGCCGGGGCAGCATAAAAGTTGTGTGGTCAGACTGGGGGTTTGGAGCAGCGTGCTGTACTGGTGGGTTTCCTTTCTCTTGCTGTTTATGCTGTTCTTGCTGTTCTTGCCCAGAGGCAGCCCCGGTCTCAGTCTTGGGCCTGGCAGAGATGTTGCTGTGTTCTGTCTACAAAGTGCTTTAGAGTAGTAGGGTAATTGAGGCCTTGGGAGGTCTCTCCTCCAACTTTCTCCAGCCTGAAGCAATTTTTGGAATTACAAAAAAAAGCTCTTGTTACTGTCACACCTCCCCCAGGATCTCTCCTGTGTTTCTCCACACAACCCACTGATGTCTGGGCTTAGAAATGCTGTGCCCAAATTGATGTGCAGGGATTGTGCTCTTTTAGGATGGAAGTGTTGTGAGGGATTTACCAAGTAAATCCAAACAGCTAAAATATCAGTTCTAATCCACGCAGGGACTGAATTGTGCTGAGCAGAGCTGGCTTTCAAAGAAGGAGGCTGTATTCTCTTGCAGACCTCAGGGTAACTCAGGACCTGGGCCAGCTGGCCATGGGGCTGGTTTTGGTTTGTATCTGGGCTGTTCAGTGACAACATCCCTGTGCGTCCCAAATGGAATCCCCCTTCCCTGATTTTGGTCCCAGAAGGGGATGTGAGTAGCATTTTTTTCACATCTGCTTGTTGTCTGAGCCAAGCATATCTATCTGGGTATCCCAAGCCTCCCTGTGTTTGTGCCCTTTCTTGTGTGCCCTCCCCCAGTTCAGCACTAAGGCACCCAGCAGTCGAGAGAAAGCCAAAAAGTTGAAGCTTGGGTCAGTAAGCACTGGGAGTTTCTGGGATGGGGTTGGTGGGAAGCGTAATACTGATGAAGTTGGGGGCTGTGGGTGTGTGGTGGGTGTTTAAGACTCAGAGATATCGCTTCACTGGTCCTGGGAGTGCTGCTGTATGGACAGGTCCTTCTGAACCTCCCAGGCACAACCCTGGTGTGTTCCTAGTGCTGCTGCAGCAAAAATGCAACGAGAGCATTTCAGGAAATGATTTCTGTTTTATTCTGGTCTGGGGAGAATGAGCAAATGGGAGATCTCACATGTCTTTGCTCTTAGGAGCAATAAATGAGGAACAGGTAAACTGGGCCTGCATGAATTTGTGGTGAAGGCTGTCCCACCCCATCGGCTGTAGGTGCTTGGCTGCCACGGGGGGAGAATGTGGCTTCCTCTTTGGCCAGGAACACGTCTGGGGAGTCGGAAGCAAACCTCTGCGTGCATCCACCTATTGCACCCAAACGGTGGTTCAGGGCTCCCGGATGATGCTCTGGTCCTCGTTGTGAGCAAGAAGTTGTGTGATCTGCCCTCCTGCCCCTGTGTGTTAGTGCTCTGAGGTGTTCCCACTTGTACTGCCTGTATTTCCTTTCAACTGCTGTAT